TCCCTATGAAAATTGCTTTTCTATATTAGAAAAACACTGTCAGGTTCTTCTGCACCACCCATATTTTAATAATGTAAATGTTTTTTCTACGCCTCAATTGTTGTGCCACATGTGCTATATTTAAAGTTTCCCATTATGTAGACGTCACTTCTCTCAGCGTGAGGTAGTTCTCATGAATGTGAGTCAAATAAAATAACGTCTTCACCAACTTGACAAAGCACGTGCAGCATTTAGAAAACATTCACCAACTTGAGAAAACTAGGCGCAGCATTTCTTAACCTGTTAAGCCCTGAGCCTGTTTTTCAGGAAAATTACTATATCTTCACTTCTAAAAGGGGTAAATGAATAATCTTTTTTCTCAAAGCAATGACACACCTGTGAGTTGGATGTAGAAAAGTCAGAATCAATATAGATGTTTTTTATTTTAAAGAAAATTCAGATTGAACATAGTTAATGTGTGATAGTGTCCATCCAAAAAGAAAATATTACTTATAGTGAAAACCACCCTTGAATTATGGGATAGTAGACTAAAAGCTTTATGAATCCAAACTATAACATATAATAAGTACCCTGTATCAAGATTGATGCAAAAAAAGAGACATTTTACCTTTTTAGAGAGGTTTTTAAAAAAAAACACCTCTGGGGTCATTTGGGTGTATTTGCCGTATCTCTGGAACCCATTGGTCGATTGGATGATTTTGACTTTTTAACCGTAAGAGCCAATAGAATCGAGGGGAAGTTCCTAAATCCACCTAAACAATACCATTGGTGAATGAGAGTGATGCGCACGCAGTTTGCCCAAACCGAAAGCTCTGTTACACTCTAATGAAAACTACTTTTATTGCCATAAATCTTATGATGAATTATCAGTAATCATTTCTAAGTGACACAGAGACATTGGATTAACCTTCAGCAGCGTTTTTATGCGTTTTTATGCGTTTGTATGCATTTGTATGCGTTTTAATGCCATTGAACAAAACTCTGGATCAGAAAACAGCAAAGGTAAGATGTATTTGCCGTTTTGGCCGCACAGTGATGAAACTTATTCCATTGGAATCTGTGGAATCTCAGCTTTCATATGATATCTAGTTTGTGCAGATTGCATGAAGTATACATTATCTACCGAGAGTTCTGTGCTAAGTGCGTTAGCATTTTTTCGCTTAGTGCTAATTCAGAGGCTTGGTGTTACCCTTTGTTTCCGGCTAAAAATTGTTAATATTGTCTGATAGCTGAGTTTCTTCCCGTTAAGTGGGTATGACACATTAATAGGTTGTTAAATGTTAAGAAGCCCTGAGACACAGTTTCGTGCAATATTGTTGTGTTTGCCCCTGCCGGGACACTAAAAAGTGACGCACACAGCTGGAACCGGAGCGCTTGGTGATGTCGGGATTATTAGGTTGGACAGCTACATTTGTTGGAAATGTGTTATTGTCTTATTTTAACAATTTGATCACATGGTTTCTTCCAAGATTATTGCAGATCTGCTGTAAGCTAGCTAGCTAACGTAGCTAACCTAGTATTTTCCAACACAGTCTCACGGCATTTCGTGTTATAGTCACGAAATTAATCTATTGATTCGTGTTCACCAACACGATTTCGCCATTTTTTTCATGTCACACAGAACGATTTTAAAAGCAATGTAAATAATAACAAATTAGAAGGAAAAACAGATAAAAAAAAATACAGATTTCAGTATTCTGACATAGAACGATTTTAGAAGCAATGTATTTATATTGGTAGTATGTTTCGTGCCTGCACCAAATAATAACAAATTAGAAGGAAAAAAAGATGACATAAAATACAGATGTCAGTATTCTGAGGCTCTGAGCCCCATTTCTTTTCCTCACTGACGGCAAAAAAACTCAGACATTATACAATTTAAAATAAAAGGGATAGGGTTAGGCTTAGGGTAAGATATTGAGTAAGAACATGTTTTTATGAACCACACAGCTTCTGGTCTTCCAAGACCCGACCGGACAAAAAGACGTGGTGCAGGCACGAAACATACTACCAATAGAAATACATTGCTTTTAAAATCGTTCTGTGTGACACGAAAAAAATGCGAAAATCGTGTTGGTGAACACGAATCAATAGATTAAATTAATTTCGTGACTATAGCACGAAATGCCGTGAGACTGGGTTGTATTTTCAGATATACTGACAAACACTAACAGTTATGAGACAGACTAACTCTGCAACAGAGACAGTTGTTCAGCTTTATAATCCTGAACGTCACCAAGCGCTCCGGTCCCAGCTGTGTGCGTCACTTTTACGTTGTGTTTTGAGCTTCCTGCAGTGTTTTTTATTTGTAGCTTGATGCTTATGCAGCTTTAAAACGCTTCACATGTTTTGTCAAGTTGGTGAGTCTTTTCTAAATGCAGCATGTGTTGTGAAGTTGGTGAAGATGTTTCTCCATTTGCATTTGTTTTGACACATTTGTATTTGTTTTCGAATATGTAATGCGTTTTTCTGAAAGTGTTTTGGGCCATTAGGGCGTGTTTGCACCTGTCATATTTCTGGTATTTTTTGGTATCCCCATACATTCGGGATCATTTGGGGAAATGCTCCTCTGCAAGGGTGTTAGGACAGAGGTTTCTATCGTTTTTAAAGCTCCCTAAGGCACATTTGTCATTTGTAAGGTATTGAAATAAATGAGGTTAAAATGTTAACATAGGTTCAGGAGCATGGCCACGCCTAAAACTCCGCCTCAAACCACGGCCACCCCTATTTATATCCGGCAAAAGCTTCCGGCCACCGCTTGTCTCATCTTTCAAAGATCGACAGGCAGACTGTGATTCACGCTGCGCGTCGTCACAGTTCAATACAAGCTAAAACGCTACCACAAGAACATTGCTACTCACCATGGATCCCGAAATCCTGATCAACTCGCCGGAGTCAGATGAGGATCTATTCGACATCGGCTACCCGCCATCCTCGGGTCAGCAGACGGAGCCAAGCCAAGCATCCGAACGGAGCCGCGCGTGCTCGGCATTCAGTGCCCCACACACCAGCCGCTACCGCTCCCGCTCAAGCTCCCCCAACGAGATACCTCCAACTCCAGACAGGTCCCAGGCTTCGCCTACTCCGCCAGCGAGGGCAAACAGCCAGGGCCGCATCAGGTACAGCCAGCTCCAATCTCCCCACCACCGGCAGCCTGCCTCACTCGCAGCTCCCGGCCACTCGCAGCGGCGCTCTCGACGCTCCACAACAGAGCACGAACGCACTCAACGCTCCACAACAGAGCCCGAACGCACTCGACGCCCCACAACGGGGCCCGAACGCACTCGACGCTACACACCAGAGCCCGAACGCACTCGACGCTCCACAGCAGAGCCCGAACGCACTCGACGCTCCACAACAGATCCCGAACTACGGAGGTGGACAGTCATTCGACTCCAACGTTTCCTGAAAGACAACGGCATCCACTTTCACCGAAACGACAACAAGGCTAGACTGTTCAACCTCTACCAAGCCTACTGCAGCACAACGGCAAGAACAACAACACACACAGCTCTTCCCGCCCCAGAATCAACCACCGCGCGCGCGCGCACCACGGGTCGTGACGTCACAGGCCTCCGTCCTCCTCCACGGACACAGCCCGACTCACCAGCACCCCCTGGCGGGGGCCAGGTGGTATTGCCCTCTGTGCCTGCTCTCTCTGTGTCTGACATGTCACAGCTCATTTCAACCTTTCTCTCATCCTTGTGCCCACAGGCTTCACATAATCCCCATGCACATACATCCCTTCATCCCTCCATCCCTTCTTCTTCTCTACCTTCAGCAGTCCACAGCTACCCAGCTTCTGCTTACCTTCCTTCCTTAGCAGCTAACCCCGTAGCAACAGCGTCCCACCCAGTAAACCAAGGGGCAGGGGCCATGCCACATGCTAACCTTTCAGCCGATTCTTACCTAGTATCTTCCTTTCCAACTGCTCTACCTTTTCCCCCTCCCCCTCCCCCCCCATCCCTACCCCATCCCTTCCCCAACACCCAAATGTTTTTCCTCCCTGTGCAACCAGCTACACTCTAGCCACAGCAACACCACCCATCCAGCCAGCCTCATTAGCCTATCGCCCTTCCCCCGTGTCCCTCGCCCTGCGCCAGCAGATTCTCCTGGGTAACTATGTAGACTTAGCTCAGCTTCTACATCCTTCAATCATTGACACTAGCCAGCCCAGGGAAATACAGACCAACTTCGGTTTAGTCCAGCTGCGAAATCCATCACCTCAGAGGTCTAAGGACTTAACCCCTGCAGAGTTCGCCCTAGCTTTTTCCCTCTACCGCGACGTCATCTGCTCAGTCTACCCCACACGCAGACCCGAGTTAGACGAGTACCTCCGCATAGAGCTCGACATGGCCTTACGCTTCGGAGGCTCAGGGTTTTACACCTACCACATCCACTTCGCTAGCCAAGCCGCCGGCCGCATCAACCAGTTCAATCAGGGAACATACTGGGGCGCTCTGGACTCCGAGCTTTACTGCCGCATCTTTGCAGCACGCGCATCCCTCTCGTGCCAAATATGCGAAGCCCCCTCCCACCCGGCCACAGCTTGCTCAGTCAGCGCCCCACAACCCGAGCCACCCCGCCCACGCCCCTTTCCATCAAGAGGCAACGCCTCAGTCCCCGACCGCCTATCATTCGCCGCACCTCCACCTCCCATCATCCCTAGGGCCGCATTCAAACGCTCACCAGCCAACGCCCCCGCTCCAAAGGGCGTCGACAGACACGGAAGGCCAGTCCTCTACCAGGGAGGCAGGATGGTGTGCAACAACTTCAACGACTTAGGCTGCTCTCTTTCTAGCTGCCGCCTCATGCACATCTGCTCCTTCTGTGGCGGCGCTCACGCCAGGAGCACCTGCCCTCACAACCCAACTACACCAGCAGACTGACTAGCACGGCACCTCAGCACACCCGTCAGGGTAAGCAACTTAGCTACAGCCTTAGTTAATCATCCAGATAGACAGTTCGTTTACTTTCTCACCCACGGCTTCTCCCACGGGTTCCACCCAGGCATAGCAATACTGCCCGACACATCTCACATCTGCCACAACCTTCAGTCTGCGTTAACAGAACCTCACACCGTTGACACTTTACTGGCTAAAGAAGTCAAAGAAGGATTCATGATAGGCCCATTCGACAGTCCCCCCTTTCCAGTGTTCCGCATCAGTCCAATAGGCATAGCTACTCGGAAATACTCGGGAAAAAAGAGGCTCATAATAGACCTGTCTTCTCCACACGGCTCAGCCATCCCGAGCATTAATAGCGTCATCCCAAGCCCAGACTTTTCAATGCAATACGCAAACATCGACCACGCCATCACCCTCATCCGCTCAGCAGGCCGCGGAGCATGGCTCTCTAAGGCAGACATCACCAGTGCATTCAAGATCTTGCCTATTCACCCAGACTTCTGGCGTTTCTTCGGAGTATACTGGAAGGGAGCCTATTACTTCTCAGTACGCCTCACATTCGGCTGCAGAAGCAGTCCCAAAATCTTCGATTCCCTTTCAGAAGCTCTGTGCTGGATCTTGATAAACAACCACAGACTCCCCTACGTGCTCCATCTCCTTGACGACTTCCTCATCGTCACTCCACCATCCTCACCCCCCCGCCACGGGCTGAGCACACTCATACAAACATTTTCAGACCTCGGCATCCCTCTGTCTGAAGAGAAAACCTCAGGGCCTAATACCTCCATCGAGTTTCTAGGTATCACCCTGGACTCAATGTCTTTCCAGGCTTCTCTACCCTCAGAGAAAGTACAGCGCATCACTCTCCTCCTGTCAAACTACTTACAGGCAGACAGATGCACGAAACGGCAGCTGTTAGCCCTCCTCGGCCACCTAAATTACGCCATCCGCATAATACCCCAAGCAAAACCATTCTTATCCAACCTGCTTAACAGAGCGGCCTCAGTCCCCTCCATCCACGATCGACTAGTCCTCGACGACGCATGCAAAATGGAAATGCACCTTTGGCAGGATTTCTTGTCCTCGTGGAACGGCATCTCTTTCTTTTACGACGACTTCATCACCAAATCAGAGGATATCCAACTCTTCACCGACGCAGCCCCCTCCATAGGCTTCGGCGGCTACTACGCAGGGAGATGGTTCGCATCCACCTGGCCCCCAGAGTTCACAGCGCTCAATTCACAGACGCTTTCTCCTTCATCCGCACTTCACGAACTATATCCCATTATCATAGCTGCCATTCTTTGGGGGCACGAATGGTCTAGGAAAGCCATACTCATTCACACCGACAACAGCGCAGTCGTCGAGATCCTTAACAAAGGCCGATCTCGCTCCCTAGTCATCATGCAGTTCCTCCGCAGACTCACTTTAATCTCCGCCAAACACCAGTTCATCCTCAAAGCAGCACACATCCCAGGTCATGAGAACGGCATCGCTGACTCTCTGTCTCGTTTCCAATTTCAGAAATTCAGAAACTCGGCCCCAGAGGCGGATCTCCATCCCACACCAGTCCCACCGTTTTCAGCCACCACATTCAACTGAACCCACAGCTGGAACTGCTCACACATGCTTCACGGGAAGCCATCCTCAACAGCCTCGCCCCAAGCACCTTGTCAGCCTACCTCACCGGCTGGAATTGCTTTAAGGCATACCACGGCACATACCAGCTACCATTCCCCACTCTGGACGTCATGTCCGTCTGCAATTTCATCACTCACACTCATTCCATCCGCAAGTGCCGGATATCCACCATTCAGACATACTTGGCCGGAATTAACTTCTTCATTAAAATAGCCAGCGGCCAACCATGTCCTTCCACATCCCATAGCCATGTCACCATGCTTATCAAAGGCTTACGTAAGCAGGAACCCTCTGCCACAGCCAAACGACTGCCACTCACATCCGACCTTCTCAGCCTCTGCATCCGTTCCCTACGCTCGGGATACTTATCACCAACGGTCGACCTTACCCTAGAATGCATGTTCCTGCTAGCATTCTTCGGCTTCCTGCGATGCTCCGAATTCGCACCCACTTCATCCGCCTACAACCCTCACCACCACCCCAGCCTATCCGACATATCCCTCCACACAAACGACTCTCTCATATTCACACTCCGCAGGAGTAAAACAGATCAGCTGGGAATCTCTTTTCCCATCCACTTCTTCCGCCTGAACTCGTATCTCAGCCCATACGAGCCACTAACCAAATACCTCAGCACGAGGTATGCTGCACACGCAACGCCTCAACACCCACTCTTTCTCACCGAAACAGGGAAAATGGCCACACGTTTCTGGTTCCAGAAACACTTCCACAATGTCTTGCTCATTTCGGGGATATGCTCAGAACACTATTCGAGCCATTCCTTCCGCATTGGCGCAGCGTCCACAGCAGCGAGACTGGGCATCTCCGACCAAACCATCCAGGTCCTGGGCCGCTGGTCATCCCAAGCTTACCACACTTACATCCGTAACAATCTCAATGATCTCAGACAGGCACACGCTCAACTCGGTTCCATTTAATCTGACTCTTTTGGGGGACCGCAATCAGCCCACGCAGATCCTGCCGGAGACGGAACCCCCACTCTGAGTCTCCCACCGCACGGACCATAGCTCGTCCTCCCAGATCATCTCTTCACCCCCCTCATATCCCTCACATGTTACTTCAATAAATGTACAAACATCACACTGTTGTGGCGTGGTTCTTGCTAGTGAAATGAGGTTAAAATGTTAACATAGGTTCAGGAGCATGGCCACGCCTAAAACTCCGCCTCAAACCACGGCCACCCCTATTTATATCCGGCAAAAGCTTCCGGCCACCGCTTGTCTCATCTTTCAACCCACCCTCCCTTACCCTTCTACCCATATAGTTCCCTTCCGACTCACACCGAGCGATACATTCATCCTTCATTCCTACATCCTCGGCCAGCACCATTTACAGCTAAACGGTGCATATCTGTATACCGCTTATACTAACATTAAATTCAAGGTATCGTCTGGGGGACCGCAATCAGCCCACGCAGATCCTGCCGGAGACGGAACCCCCACTCTGAGTCTCCCACCGCACGGACCATAGCTCGTCCTCCCAGATCATCTCTTCACCCCCCTCATATCCCTCACATGTTACTTCAATAAATGTACAAACATCACACTGTTGTGGCGTGGTTCTTGCTAGTGAAACCTTGATTGGTTCGTTTTGATTGTGCATGACAATTAGCCTGGTCTTCTGTTTGTTGCAGAGAGAGAGTGTGTTTCCAGAACAATGGGCCTACAGAACAATGACTCTTTGATTTCTTGATTACAGACTATCCAACAAATGGGCTTTCTGTCCCTAAACCTAGTTTGAGAAATGTAGGAAGGGATACAATAACTGATTGTTGTGTGAATGAGGACGAGTTCAGAGCAAGCTTGTTTGTGTGTGTGTGTGTGTGTGTGTGTGTGTGTGTGTGTGTGTGTGTGTGTATTTGTGTGATTATGTGAGAGATAAGGGTGGAGGGGAAGGTCTGACTCCTTATCTGCTCCTTTGCAGAGTTGACTCGATTGCAGTAATTGTTCCGGCCACAGCAGGAGATGGTGTGTGTGTGTGTGTGTGTGTGTGTGTGTGTGTGTGTGTGTGTGTGTGTGTGTGTGTGCGTGTGTGTGTGTGCATGTGTGTGTGTGTGTGTGTGTGTGTGTGTGTGTGTGTGTGTGTGTGTGTGTGTGTGTGTGATTGGCTAATGCGGAATCTCAACATTATCAAAGTTGCTCCTCAGCTCTGCATACTTAACAGGTTGATTCATTTGAGAGATCTGATTGGTTGAGAGATCTGATTGGTTGCAGTCCAAGGTTTCTACATGTATGCACATGTATGTTTTTAAATACATATACAATATATAATAATATACACATAAAAACCTTTGACTCCAGTATGTTAACTTTTTTTGCTACCTGAACTGACCTGTTACCCCTAGATTCCACCGGGTCCGTCTGCGCCGCGTTGCGGTTTTGGTCCGGCCTCCTCCGGCGTCATACCCTACCAGGCGCGTTTCAGAAGCATTTTAGAAGCGGAGCGTCTTGCCTGCCGGCTCGCAGTTTTTGTTGATTTGGGCATATTTCCTGGACAGGCTACTTTGTACAGACAAAGTTAATAATAACTGTAATATTCCAGTTATAAACGACATGAATCAAAGATGTGTTGCTGTATTTTAGTGGTAAAAAAATGCATTCATCATCATAATTATTCTATATAATTTACACAGTGCCTGTAAACCGGAGGAGAACGCTGGCATTTCTCCTCCTACTTGAAAGACTACGGAGGGATAGGGTCTGCAAAGTTAGTTTGTGTGTGTGTAGCCTATATATATATATGCTATGCTCTGACCGTTCCACTTCCTGCCTGCCCGACCTTACGTTACGGCTGCGCCGCGACAAAAATAGGATTCGATCCTAATTTTAGAGGAGCCCTGCGCCGAGCCGCTTCTGGGACGCTTCTGAGCCGTAACGAGCCGCGTGTGGTGGAATAGCAGCCATTGACTAGAGTGGCCGCGATCGCCGTGAGCACCGCGGCGCAGCCGTAACGCGCCCGTAACGCGCCCGTAACGCGCCCGTAACGCGCCGCAGACGGACCCGGTGGAATCTAGGGGTTACACACCTATGTAGATGTCTTGCTCGTCCAGTATGTTAACACAACACAACATGGCTTTTGAAACTTGTTTTATCCAATGTTCATATTTTTGATTCTAATCTGATTTTGTTACAGAAATCTCTGGAAATTAGCTAATATTTGACCAGAGAATATCTCATTTCCATTTCTTATTGGATCTTAGTGTTTTAATTTTTTTGATGAAAATGTAATGGCAAAACCCCACTGCTCCGGACAAATAGGACACGCATTTTTTAATTGGTTCTCACTGGTTTTTGTTTTGCATTCTTCATGAGAATGTTAGTGAAAACTCTTACATTTTTTTAATTGAAAAGTATCAATTATTTTCAATAACTTCCATGCCAATTACCCAGTGTCTCTAAACCAATGCAGCATTGTAATACTGAACTGGACAAGAAGGACACACCTCTTTAAAACATAACATTTCAGAAAACTTGCAATACAACAAATATTTGTCTTGATGTTAGAAGTCAACTGGTGAAATGTCATTGTGATACCTATGATTTAAATATTTTACCACATCCACCTGTAGTTTTTCCCATTCATTCCACACACTGTTTTTGGATGTTTTCCATTATTCTCCATTAATTGGGGCTCAGGACCAGTTCTTCCTCCCTGTGCAGGAAGTGATAATGTGATATATTAAATGTTCCACATGGTGAGGACATCTTTTCTTGTTTCCTGGTGTGTTTGCAGGTTACAGGAGCCAGATCGTGATGGGAGGAATGGGAGGGTGAATTCCCAAAAGGCGAGGGGAAATCCAGGCGGGATTGAGAGATAATTGAGTGAAGCTTCCCTCCGGCAGAGTAACACAGCTTCTCAGTGTTTCTTTCATAATGAAGTCTGCTACTGGACGCTACTTTTTCACCCCCAGGTCATACCCTCTTCCTGTGTGTCCTCACTCAACCAAGGGAAAAAAACAAAGCTGTGTGAGCTCCACTGGGAAACTAATTGTGTCAATCAGACACATGTCCATGCTCCAAAACTTGAAGATGTCCATTTATACTTTATCAGCTGTCGTGGGTTGTTATCCAAGTCCAACCATAAGAATATAACACAACAGAAATACATACGTACCAGTGATTGTAGTTAAAATGATGTCTTTGTATACAGAATACATGCGACATGACAGATAATGATTGAAATATATATATATTTATAAATATTGATCATGGTGTGGATCTGTGTCCAACAAGGATTTTTTATAAAGTCTGTAGAGTACCGTTTGAGGGTTGGGACTTCTCTGCAGCTCCACAATACTTAATTCAGATATTTTCAAAATACAAATACGAACCTGAAAATGAGCGGAATAGGGCCCTTTTAAACCCAACACACACACACAGACACACACACACAAACACACACACACACGCACACACACACACAGACACACACACACACACACACACACACACACACACACACACACACACACACACACACACACACACACAGACACACACACACACACACGAAGCAAATACAATATAATATAATATCGTTGTTTTGAGTTTGTATCTTGTCGGTCACTTTCAATAAAAGCGTCAGCTAAATAAAACGTAATGTAATCTTTAACATCAAATGGTCACGAAATTAGCAATGTTATGTCATGTAATGTCAACCCGTCCGTTTCAAGAAGCAAAGCAATGCATCAATATATCTTCTTATTTATAGACATTTGACCCATAGATTGTTTACCCAATGATTCGGTGACGCTGACCATAACAAAGTTACGATCTTAACCATGTGAAGTCATCCCGTCCATTACAAGAATCAAAGCAATGCATCAAACCTCCCTCGTCTCCCAAACCTGAAGCGGCAGCCCACCAGACCCTAATGGGATCTCAAATGGTTGCTTAATATAATTGTCTTTATTGGCTATACTGCTTCAGTGCAGGGCATGG